ACATAGATTTTCAAGCCACATATACTGATGGGTCCAAAATGGAGGTGGGCGTTGGTGCTGCACTTGTAAATGACCAAGCCACCCGGTCCTTTTCTTTACCGAAGCACTCCTTCGTTTACACGTCCGGGCTCGTTGCAATCAGTAAAGCCCTATGCTTCATCGAAGTTGGTGAGAGCAACTCACACGTGGTCTTATCCGATTCTTTGAGCAGCCTGTTGGCCCTGACAGCCTTTAACACACCTTGTCCCATTATATAGGATATTTTAGTTCGCCTGACAGCGCTGGATCTTGCTGGAAAGACTGTCGCCTTATGTTGGATACTGAGTCATGTGGGTATCGCAGGTAACGAGTGTGCTGACGCGGCCGCAAAACGGGCAGCGCGTGCACCTTGCACCCGTTTTTTACCCTTGGCAAGGGACTTTTACAATGCCATTGTGACCTTTGTGAAGGGGAAATAGCAACGCTGCTAGGACGCCATTGTAAGCAATAAGTTAAAGGTGATCAAGCCACAACCGGGTCCGTGGCCGTCAAGCTCACGTTAGTTGAGACGCAAAGAAGTAACCCTCAGCGGATTACGAATTGGTCACACGCACGCAACACATAGCTGCCTTTTGTGCGATGGAGAACGCCCTGAATGCCCTCGTGATGCGCCACTCACGGTTCGCCACGTTATGCACTCCTGCCCGCAGTTCAGAGAAGACCGGGCACTTTACTTCGGACGAGGTGCGTCAGGTCTTACCTTTTCAGACCTTATTGGTGACGATTCTCCCATGCTTGGCACCGGACAGCTGTTTTCATTTTTGGGAAGCCTATGATTCACAGCCATTTATACGCCTCGGTAAACACTTAGCTGTTATGGACGCAAAATGGCCCTAGAAGTCGACGCGCCCTAAAACCCCAATCATCATCATCATGCAATAAGCACCGTTCAAAGTGCTCTCTGCTGCCCTTGCCCTGAGCTCACCGCGTTCCTACCTCCGTTATCAAGGACGTAGCAGAACAATGAAACGAACTGTGCATATTAAAAACTATAGTTGTTTATATATATACCTTATATATATACGCAAAAAAATATACCCTCGCCGTTGTTCGGAGCCCAAGACATTCTTGCATCACGTGGTTATATATATATATATATATATATATATATATATATATATATATATATATATATATATATATAACCACGTGATGATGATGATATAACCATATATATATATATATATATATATATATATATATATATATATATATATATATGGCCGAGGAAAAGGTGATCCCTATTTTGTCGACAATTGCAACCACGTGATGCAAGAATGTCTGCTTACTTCCATATTTACATGCTCCTTGTTTCACCTCATACTGAGCCCGCCTCCGAAAACCAACTCCCACGCGAGAAGTCGCGATCTGTCTGGGCTCCGGACCACGGCGCTAGAGAAACTCAAAGCGGGAAACGTCCCCGTCCGACCAATTATGAATGTCAGAACATTTTCATCCACGCGCCGAATTTCACGCGCTTGACAAGAGGCAGGTTGGCGCAAATGAAAATGGCGCGAACGATCAGCTGATCGGCCAATGCAACCGGTGGCCGTAGCCGCGTGTCAGAAGTCAGTGACATATATATATATATATATATATATATATATATATATATATGCAATTGTCGACAAAATAGGGATTATCTTTTCACGAAACAGCATTGCCGATATGCAATGCCGCAATGAGACAATGTGTAAGACAGCGAGAGTAGGTACTTACACATGCGTACGACATAGCACATGCAGAAGTGATGCCACCATTAACCACATATTTTTAAGCATTACATGATATAAATTCAGACATTCGCATTCTAATTCTTGTGACACATTTCTCCCGTTATACAACTCCGTTCACAACTAGGCATGATACTAGGCTTTATGTCTCACCGGCTGCAACGGCTGTTTCGAGGCGGAATGCCTCTATTACGTATTTATCAGGCATTAGGTACGCGGGATGCGGTAGTGGTGTGGCCAGGATTCCATAAAAGGATAGAAAAGTCCAGATATGAGTACCCTAACCACTAATCACCATGCCACTATCGCCGCTCTGCGGCGCGAACTGCACCCGTCTCGATAAACTCCAGACTGGTGTTGCTGGACCCCAAATTCTATACTAAAGAGGTTCTGAAGCGTAAAAGGAAGGAAGCGTGTCATGACTGATGAAGTGGATGGCGAATACAAGCTCACAATTCTCCCAATTCATTCAGCTTATCTATCGCAAGCCAGCCTCAGTGACATACCCTCGGCTCCGCTGTTCAGATGGTGAATCAACAGCGCGTTTAAGCACGGCACGTGCGTAGTGTTTTGGGTTACGCTTGGCAGGCAGTTGAATACATTCGCAGTCAACGTTTGCTTTTTCACTTCCTATCTACTTGCAACCAGGAGTGCGGTTCCCTATTCAGTTGCAGGGGCTTCACCCCCTGCCGTGACTTGGGTTGCAGCCTGCAAATTTGTGAGAAAGTGAGCCAAATTCGGAGAGAAACCAATTTGTTGTCACCTTCGTTGCATTTGCATGGCTCAGCCAACCAACGCATTTTGGTGAACCCCGCCTATTAAGAACGTACTTTATTGAAGGAACGAATTGTTTGTAGGCTGGGCCATTAAACGTGTTTCACCAGGGAGTGTATCCAGATTCAGCTGATGAGACGGCCCCCACTCCCTCTCTTTGAAAGTAAAGGCATGGGAAATTCAGAATAAGTCCTGTTTGCAGCACCGTATGAAAGAATTTGCGGTTGGAAGGGGGGACCAGTCAAATAAAATCACTAACAGTATATGTTAGTGCGCCAGGAGCTGGAGATCTATATGCGCGCGTACCTGGAGCACACATCAGATCAGTCAACCTTGTACATCAGTCATCAATTCCTTCAAATAATGAGAAACATCACCAACACATACAGCAAATAACGGAACTGAATACCGCGGAGAATCTTATCCATGGCCCGCAATACCAAACAGCAGGCAGCCCGACAAGTGCTTCCCACGATTATCTTACAGCTACTGCCGAATAACCAGCTATTTCCGATGCCACGAGCCAGGGATCAAAGCTTTGAATTATTTATGCGCCTGCTGCCAAGGGCGTGCTGATGCGGCAAATCTTGTGTGCTCAAACAAAACGTTGCTCATATCCATGCACAGTGGTTTAACTGGGCGGCACTGCACCGCATGACGTCACTCGTCAGCTGAGGCGGACGAAATCGGCTCCGGTAGCCCTCTGTCGGGCAATATCCGAACGATTAGGTGAAGGGCTGCGAGGAAGTGGGACAGTACCCCAACCCGTGGATCTCGCGCTTGCTGGACTTCACGAACACCGGACTTTATCACTGGACGTTATGAACACTGGACTTTATGATTCTCCTCTGTCTAGGGGTTTTGGGCGTTTTCTGGATGTTTTGGACGCTGGATGCTGTCATTGTAGACTTTTTTACTACTGGACTTCATGAACTCTGGACGTTTCAATACGCATCCGACAGATGTGGTCCCGTCAAAAGCGCAGGGCCCTCAAAAGCCAATAGGAAGTACCCAAGTCTTAGTGTGATGGGCCCCCGAACGATTGAGTGTGCCCGAGCAGCTTAATAGATGAGGCCCCCGATGAGGGCGTAGGGCCCTGCAAATAAATTAAAAGTATCCAAGACCTGATGCGTAGGGGCTTCGAGCGATCGAGTGTACCGGAGATGAGGTTAATGGTTGGGGGGGGGGGCGCCGAAAGGAGCTTAGGGTCCTCCGCTAATTATAGGGAATTGGAGGGGGCCTACATCAATGGAGGAAACCCGTGAGCATCTCGCAGATTTATCGGTGGTTTAATCGAAACTAACTTGAAGGACCCCTGAGCAGCGTAGAATGTCCTGGCAGTTTAACACATGGGAGCCCCGGCTATAGCGTGTAGAGACATTCGCGCGAATGGGAAAAATCCGTGGTAGGTCCATGATCAACAAGAGCGCCCCGGTATTCCAGCAGAAAGGGCCCAGACAATAGCCCTGGACTGTCCGAGAAAACGTAATGAGACCAGGGGCGACGCGGAAGACTCCTTACCAATCGGATTTACCTTGCAAGTGGACATAGAGGGCGCCAGATGCAGCGTAGAGCCTCTGAACAGCGTGTTGAACATTACAATGTCTCAACCAGCCTCTCAATCAGTGGAAAATTATTTTGTCTACTTTTAGGCCCTTCACTTTCACATGCGACTGTTCTGGGTCTCCTGAACGCCCAAAAACGTTCATTTTTTGCATTTTCGAGTTAAACAGCTGCGTTCGTTCGGCCGGCTATGGGTCCCTTCGGGGCCCACGCGGGGCCATATATATCCCTGTGGCTCTGCATCCACCTCTGAGCCTCGGATGCAACGGAGTCGTGTACCACCCTGAGCTCAGCCCAGTCAGTCGAGCCCCTCTTTGTCCAGCATTCCTGCAGGATTACGTGCTGCTGACCACGTCACGCCTGCCATCTGCATGCGGGCCGAATATGGCAGCATTAGCCGCGTGGAATGTAGCAGGAACTCAAATCCCGCGCCGTTTTCCTTCGGCACGGTCTGCAGTACCACGCGTCGACCCCAGCAGCGGCCGAAAATGACCGCAGGCGGGTGTGGTTGCATCCGGACGACTGCGCGTTTGCTCATCTCGAGAGCTGTGCAGCGCGGCTCCATGTACGCCATTGTTGGAGAACTGAATGCGAAACCTAGCAAGCTGCATGCGGCTGTGCAAGACGATTCCAACCCCCTGTGTTAACTCTCGCCAGACTCGTGTTTTTCACGACATTCGCCTTATCGACGCCCTTCTGGGGCTCCCGCTTCCAGGGATTGTACCCCTCTCAATGTCATGCACATTACCAAGAAAGCCGTCTGGGTCACCAGTGTGCCCGCAGCCTGGCTTAATCCATTGTGATCATCAGGAGCCTCGAGAGAACGGCCAATGGGAAGTCTGGGGTGGCTGGAACCAGCGGGAGGCTGAGCTCTTTGGGACTCTGTTTCAGATGGCGGTGTCGTTCAGTGTCAGCGGACCGTCTACACACGAGTATCCTTCAGAGGCGTCGCTGATTACCGAGCACACTGCCACCAGCAACGGTGGCTCCAGAGCGCCCAGCGCTTCCAATGGTACCATAGGTAAGCTTCAAGTTCAGACTTTTGAGTCATGGATGGCTGTGCTGCCAGATTGGCGACAAAGACGTGGCATTGCACGAGAGGAGGCTGCCTGGTTTAGTCTACGTGCGGTATCTCTAAATATTGCTTTTTCCTCGACATTGGGACATTCGAGGGCCATGAACGTTGCCTTATTGCTGTGATTTCCATGGTATTGTGTGGTTTTTAATGAACACGGTGACGAAGGGTGTGATACGTAACCTTCGGTGTGTTGGTGAAATTTAGGGTCACGGGCTAAAATCGTCAAGCTGGTTCATTACTCTACAGCCAAACTCACCCTGGGTTGCAAGGCACTCTCCAGCCTGCATCTCAGTCAAGTCTAGCTGCAGGTTGAGATGGCTCGAGCCTTCCCAACTGAGCACAAACTCACACCCCCTGGTTGACGCACTTCCTCCCTTGAACCGAGGACTTGTAGTTACCGTGAAAGGCGTAGTTCCTTGTCTCGAACATGATCGGAAATGAAGCAACAACGAATGTGGTGCGAAATCTTCCTGCAAGGTGTCTTCAACAACGTAAATTACAAATGTTACATGTTCACTTCCTCCGGTTTTCCCGTCATCATGGATATTATCACATGCCGCTCAAAGTTGGAGACGGTGCTGACAATGGTGATAGCTTAACAGAGCCATATGCAGTTTTGATTGTTGTGCGAAAGTGTTCGTGACGGCTGGAAGTCCATTGCAAGGTGGCAAGCGCGATTGGCCGCTCACTGCCAGGCCGTGAGTGACTGACTGTACCCTACGGTGTCGTGCAGCAATTGGCCGGCCGCCGTGTCGGCCCCGCCTGACCGCCTCCCTTCGGCAGGGGGCCTGGCCAGCTACACGCCCAGCAAGCTGACAGCCGGCTCGGACTTTGAGCTGGGCGTGTCGCGCCTGGCGCCGGCGGCCCCGGTACGGCCCAGTGGGGCGGACGAGCGCCGCTCGCCGGACGAGTTCCTCAAGCCGGCGGACGAGTCGGAGACGGTGGTGTGGAGCTCGGAGACCTCTGCTGACATTCTGTTTTAGAGTTGCGCGCTGCGGCCGCGGCGCGGCGCTATGATCGCTTGCGATTCTGCGAGTCATGCTTATCGAAGCGGTCGCCTCGCGTAAGATGCGCTGATAGAGGTGAAGAGGGGCGCCGCGAGTTTTAGTTATCCTGTGCTTGGCCGGGCAGTAGATGCTGTGTTGTTCGCACTGTATCGAAAATAGCGCGTTTCGCTGTAGCGGAGTGTCTGATTTGAGCGAACGCATGTTGTCATCGTATTGTAACAGACATCGCGCCATTTTGTGTCATGTTCTTGATAGATATATTTATTATATAGAGAGCGTGAGATTTTACACAATTTTATGCGGTTGAAATGACGATGATAAATATAGATGCTTTAATTCGACTTTTTACCTCATGGTGATTTTCGCCCTTTCAAGAAGTGTGCCAGCTACCTTGCACTATTGCAGCTATATCACGGATGTCGACTTGTATTATTTTGTGAGGGCCCTGCTCCCCTCCCCCCCCTCCATGTTGAGTTGGGCCTCCAATGTTGGCTTGTCCCCCCCCCCAATGTTTTTGGCGGGAATGCTACAAAAGACGTGGGTAAAAGATAATCATAACATAAAGACTATCTTCTTTGATCTTTCTGCATAGTGGCGTCTCGTACCACTCTGGTAACAAAGCCGTGGTTGCTCTAACCACAAGATACAAATCGTAACAGCTGAGCGGACAAACGATGCAATACACTTCATATTCCTAGTGTCATAAGACGCGCAATGGTCTGTGGGGTTAAAGTGAAAAGCTCTGGAACATGGGTATCAGCCTAAGTCCTTCATGGTTAACCCCGTCCCTGTCCCCCACAACCAAAATGCGCGCCGCCTGCGATGACCGCCAAAGAAGAGCGTCATCGGCACGTTAAGGTGGCCTCTAACTTCTCGCGCCGATCAGAAGAGACGCGTGCGTCCAGTGCCTGCTACCTAGATCCAGTCCTGCATGACTCCTATACTGCCCGAATTAAAGACTTATAAATTATACAACCGTTAAAAACATACATAGCGCTGAATCAAGGTGGTCCAAATCCGGTGAGAAAAAAAATGAGGAGGGGGTAGGTTGCCGGGCCTCTGCTTCGGTCCACCCAAATATTTTACAAAAATTGACACCCCTGAGCCTTATCACTCCGGGTATCCGATGAGACCCTTCACTACACTATTCAAGTGTAGGACAAGTATGTTAACATATCACACAATTCACTGCATTGCCAACCCTTACCTCCAGGTCTGTAGCGTTTGGGGCTTCAACATTATTGACGCCCAACTTCGAGGTGAAGATTTCAGCTTTGAGTATGGATTGCCAGACTGACTGCAATACATTTGCACATCGGCTCACTCAGCTTTGCCCCATCGCCCCCGATCCCCCTCCACCCTGATTATACTTATTCAGCGAAGCCAAACGCCTGCACACATGGCTGTATAACAACCCACGATATTTTGAGACCATTACACATGGCAGCAAACCGGCTTTGCAAAATGTTAGGTAGCGGAATGCAAGGGAATTTAACAGGCAATATTTTGCAATTTTGCAATGATTTTGCAATCTGCAGGAGTCATCAGTCAAGTGCTCCAATGTAAATATAGTCTGAACTTAGTAAAATGAAGCATGGAACAGCTGAGTCATGAGCTGAATCAGATTCAGATCAGTCAAGCAGACAGATGGATTATAGAGGGATATATATATATATATATATATATATATATATATACATATATATATATATTCCCATCATCGAACGCCAAACGTCATCAAAAAACGTCCGACATCTCCAATATTGGCTGTAGAAGTCTCCATGTTCCGAGCGTACGCGACTGATCGGCACGAAGCATGTACCAATCGATGCGCTATGGTCAATAGCCATCTTTTCCATTCCATCCATCTTTGCAAGTGCATGCTGTATTTCCGGATATTGCCACTTCGGTTGCAGCCACTAACACAACGGGTAGAAATTATCAGTTCATGATTAAGCTCATAACATTTGTGAAGAATGTAATTAGCCCATGACTCAAAGTGTCATTTTTTCGTAGTGAACTAACCCAGGTTACAACTCACCCTTAAATCTTTGACTCCTGAGTGCATTCATGGTTCAGCTTGAGTCAAACACAAGTCTGGTTAGCATGCACATATGTCTTGACATTATAACTTGATTTGAGTCGAGTGACAAGTATGAGTTGTAGATGTGAACTTAACCCTAAAATGTGCATTAAGCTAAAGACATCGAGCGAAGCAGACAAATGTACAACGTATGAGTTATTGCATGGATCAAGTACTTGTGATTTTCGCATAGCAAGATAATTGAGGATTCAGCTGAATTTAGCAGTCCGCAGTTTGGAAGGCCTGCCTGCTAATAACATTAAGTGAAAGGGTGCAAACCAACTGGCCTCAGTTTCCAAACTGAGGATCCCCATTAAAAACCACCGGGTGTATGATTCTATAAAATGGAGAGGACAACATCCCGGATGGCTTTGTGAGTGATGGTAGAAATTGCATCAAGTTTGTTGAAGACATCAGGGAGAGAGAGAGAGAGAGAGAGAGAGAGAGAGAGAGAGAGAGAGAGAGAGAGAGAGAGAGAGAGAGAAGAGAAGCTCTCTCTCTCTCTCTCTCTCTCTCTCTCTCTCTCCTCTCTCTCCTCTCTCTCTCTCTCTCTCTCTCTCTCTCTCTCTCTCTCTCTCTCTCTCTCTCTCTCTCTCTCTCTCTCTCTCTCTCTCTCTCTCTCTCTTCCTCTCTCTCTTCTCTCTCTCTCTCTCTCTCTCTCTCTCTCTCTCTCTCTCTCTCTCTCTCTCTCTCTCTCTCTCTCTCTCTCTCTCTCTCTCTCTCTCTCTCTCTCTCTCTCTCTCTCTCTCTCTCTCTCTCTCTCTCTCTCTCTCTCTCTCTCTCTCTCTCTCTCTCTCTCTCTCTCTCTCTCTCTCTCTCTCTCTCTCTCTCTCTCTCTCTCTCTCTCTCTCTCTCTCTCTCTCTCTCTCTCTCTCTCTCTCTCTCTCTCTCTCTCTCTCTCTCTCTCTCTCTCTCTCTCTCTCTCTCTCTCTCTCTCTCTCTCTCTCTCTCTCTCTCTCTCTCTCTCTCTCTCTCTCTCTCTCTCTCTCTCTCTCTCTCTCTCTCTCTCTCTCTCTCTCTCTCTCTCTCTCTCTCTCTCTCTCTCTCTCTCTCTCTCTCTCTCTCTCTCTCTCTCTCTCTCTCTCTCTCTCTCCTCTCTCTCTCTCTCTCTCTCTCTCTCTCTCTCTCTCTCTCTCTCTCTCTCTCTCTCTCTCTCTCTCTCTCTCTCTACATATATACGTGTGTATATATACACACTCCGACACTAGCACAAACCCGGCACATGGGGCTCCAGGCACCAGCAAGCAGCGTCTATGTAGACCTGACGCTGAACTGTCGCTTCGAGGATGAGCGCGTAGAGACCATGGAGGCCGGAGGAGGTCTCATGTCCAATGCAGTAGCGGTGCGTGGCGAACATCGGCTCACCGACTGAGGTTCGTTCTTCTTCCTTTACGTTAAGTTGCTCCTCCACCGACTGCGGGAGGTCCATGGTTTCATATGAACGATGGCCAATGAACGGCACAGTAGTTTTTGCACCAAAACAAATCTCCGACTACAACACATCAGTTATTAAGAAAAAAGGGCACTTGAGCAGTCTCACTTTTTAGCCATCTCGAGGATTCTGACTCATGAGACACAGCTAACAGCTTGAAGCTCAATAACCCGCAAGACCAGTCAAAATGCAACGACAAAGAGCTGCGTGTGTATGTCTGTGTGTGTTGTGTGTGTGTGTGTGTGTGTGTGTGGGTGTGTGTGGGTG